ATTTTTGTCATATTCTTCGCATTTTTGGGAGCAGTCCAGTACCGGAAACGGAAGTTTTATTTTTCGTCCAAATCGCGTCGTATCGCATCGCATGCTCCGCGACGCGTCGTTATATACAAGTATATGTTGTTAAACTATAAATTAAATCTATTTAAAATATATATAAGTGCATCGATTGCAATTTTATATAAATAACCGATGATTCAACTAATAGTAATTTTATATTTTCTTCAATAGAGAGGGGGAAAAAATTGGAAAAAAATCAATAATTCCAAGTTAATTTTTTTTAATTTAAAGTTTGAAGTTTTAAACTATAAGTTCAATATATTTAATTTTGATTTATAATTCAATAATTTATAAATAACTGAAGTTTGTAAACAAAATTCCTTATTTTCTAAACAGATTGTCATGAAAAAGAATTTATATCAAATCTTTTAATTAATGAAGAGAGACTTTAAGTAACTTTTCACATATTTTAAATCAGATATTTGTCACTTTAATTTATTATTCAGTAAATAACTTTTTCTGTTTTTTCTTTTACCTTTCTACTTTCTACCATTTTGCTTCGTCTACTACTTCAATATCTAGTACTTCTTTCATTTCTTCTTAAGGTAGAATAATAATAAAAAGAATCTAGAAATTTAATATTGCCGTCTCTTAAATACATTAAGTGAAAGCAGGATTAATGGAAAGAACCATTGTTAAACATTTATTAAATGGATATGACAAAAGATGAAATAATTGAAATATAAACAAAGTGATAATCTTTTGTTGTATATAATCTTCTATTATTAAACACTACATAGAAAGAGATAGAGAGAGAGAAAGTTAATTTCTAACCAAGGACAATTTTGGAATAAACAGGAAGTTGTCAGTCATTATACTGGAAGATTTTCTCATTTGTAATAATAGATGACGTAGTCTTTATCTTATTTTTTTATTACGTAAGAGAATTTATGACAATTTCGAATTAATAATAATGTAATTCGCTCCACTAAAATTACTTCCAAATGTATTTAACATACTTTTACGTATTTGGAAGTATAAAATTAGTTCAGTACAATTTTACTGATTTTTCTTTTAATATTTTACTGAATTAGTTAATTATGTTAATTGATTTAGTAAAATAATAAATTATGCTTAATTATTGTTATCTTAATTATGCATTTAGTGATATTTAGCGTGTTCAATATATCGATTTTTCTTAATTAATTTTCTAGAATTTTTTCAAAATTTAGGTTAATAAAGTATTGTTTACGTTGTAAAGATTATGACTTAAAAATTTTTAAAGTATCCTAAACTATAATTAAGGAAGAGTTAAGCGTAACTTTTTATAAAAAATTATAATTTGAAAAACGTATAATTTATCATGATAAATATCAGAATTTGTAAGCACATTTTTGATATTTGTTCATTCTTTCAAGCGACTGTTACACGCCCTTCAGTACCTCAGCTTTCCAATATAAAACACTAAAGTTTATAATTAACTCTTCCTATCTTTAGCTTCCATCTTTATCTTATATTTTCTCTACTATTATACGCCTCCTCCTACAATTATCCTTATTAATTACATAATTTTCTGTAGTTGTTCTCTCTGTTCCTTAGATTAAATAGCAAATTGATAAGTATACATATCACGTTACAGGCAATTACTTCGTACGACCATCTTGAGATTTTCCTTACCTTAACTATAAACCAACTTCCTAACTATTTAAAGCATCTTTTGCGATCCGCATCACTTGATCCGGTTGCTATGGCGACGTTTCAGGTGATGAGGATCGTTACTAGATTAAAAGTGGATGTTGGTTTTAGAAGTTAAACTCTGTTAATATGTTTACCTAGCAATACGTAGCTAAAATGCGGTGTAAACGCCATTCGTGCGCTATGGCTCGTGAGGAAATTCAATATAAATCAAATATATACGTCATTATTCTAAGAATTTTGCTATTAGTAATTAACTTAAGACTCCTTAAGACGTATTTCCGAGCACGTGGAATGCATTTATGCACGTAAAAGTAAATTGTTTACCTGCGTAAATATTAAAGGAAGTTCGAATAAATTTTCTCTATTTATATTAAGTTGCTATATATAGATTTGTATTTATACTCGTATCGTTTATATATTTAAACCTGTTTATTACATTTAAACTTTAACTGCAGTTAATTCGTGTTTTGATTACCAGATGGCGTTTAACATACACTTAAATGTGGAAAGTATAAATGTACTGTACTTGTTTTAATAACAAGCAATGCCATCTGGCGCCTATATCCACGTTCACTAGCAAACCATTTGGGCCTTTTATAACCGCTGCTCGACCTCCCCCATCGCCCAGTAGACCAGACCCTAATCGACGCTTTTTCTTTATTCCAGTCGAACCGGGACCTTCACGTGCAGAGTGTCGTCGACTTCCACCGGAAGACGAACGGGAAAAGACCAGGTGAGTATCCATTTCCCCCTTTTCTATATATTTTTGTTTATATAATCTCAATGCACACTTATCGATACCGAAAACTCATACCTTACCCCGACACTACCCATTCGTTCCTTTACATTTTCTATCAGTCCGAATTGAGAGACCCGAATTTTCGACCCATCGCACTTACAAGAACAATAGATTAGAGCAGCAGCTGTTGCTCTTTAGCAGCAGCTGTCGTCTCTCCGCACGTGACTCGAGGTAAGCACGTGCGGTTATAGTAGTACTACCAACACGTCTTTGAACAATGCGGGTCGCCCGCACCTGGTCTTCCAGATGCTCAACACCCGTGTAAGTCGATGCGCTGTGCAAACGGGAAGCGCTGGTTGCGTTACGCTTTGCGCTTCATTTTCATATCGGAATCCTTCATTAGAGTGCTGGCTCCTTAGAGGCGCGCCTCTGCGACGCCTGACGCATCGCAAACGTTAGTAGACGGGTGGTCTACAGATTATATCGACCGAAATCGATTACACTCCTCAAATTTAATACGTAAGTGATCGAAATATAAATGAAGCGAGAGTATATTTCCTGAAAATTAGAAATAAAAGTACTACTGGTTACTGTGGTAACAGTACGATACACTCGCGTAGAGGGAGGTGACGAGTTGGCGTGTGTACCTAAGTGGCACACGCCTCTAATAGATCTCTTGATGTTTTTAATGGACAGTTATTTTTTTTATAGTTTCTGGACCGTACAAAACTCAATTATCTATCTTGCGTGAAGTACACGTCCTCTGTATACGTATGTGGGGTGATAAGAGGTGTTTATTGCGCCTTCTAGACTTTTTCTTATATTAAAAAATGCTATTAAATCGCTTTCAACTCGCCCTTTACTGTAGATGCTGGTTTATTCCTGGATAAAATTAAATCGATATCAACAAATACAATCAGGTGTGCGCGCTCTTCAACACGTAACAACGCGGTACCTGTAGATTGTGTTAGGAAGAAACGAGTTGGAAACAAACCGACATTTTCTATAGCGAAATTTCGACTTTCGTGGAAACGATAAAAATCATCCGGTGCGTCACGTGTTCTAGTAGACTGACATCATGCAGGACTTCCTCTTAACGGTTTCGACTGAACTTCCCTCACGCGTCAGCACATCTGGCCCTCTTTGGACCTTCGAGAGCGACTGGATGGTCGTAGACGCCCTTTTCCTGTTTCGGAATCTGACGTTTTGGGTTATAGAATGTGAAAAATCAGTTGATATATCGTAATAAGCTACTAAAAGGGGAGAGTTTTGACATACACTGTATCGCAATGCGTATAATTTCACTTCCTGTGATAGGAGCGAAATATAAATATTCTTTTCACTGTAAACAATTCCTCTTTTATTCTTTCCTCGCTTTAAAAAATTCATTTAAAATTTTATTAATTTACAAAATATTTTAGATCATTTTCCAATTTATAAATGACATTTTCATTACTACAGTTTTTAAAAAAGTAAATATCCTACTTGTAGTGATCAATGAAATCTTACAAACTGATTCACTTATGAATGCTTGGCATGAAGAACCCCGGGCATTTTCTGCTTACTTTTTTAAAAATATACACTTAAAGAATTCTAAATGGATAGAGTAAAACCAGTCCTTTCGTAGTACGCTGTCATTGCCCTTTCCTGTTTAATTTAGTGTTAAAACTCGAGCAAAAATAACAATAAAAATTCTACCCATTCACATAAATAAACGTATAACGAAGTAATGTAATTAAATGAAGTGGATATTGCCGTATTTAGATGTGTAAATCCACCCTCATCCTGTCGTGTTGTGTACCCTGTACTTAATTTAATCGAAGTGTTTGACATGTTTAACTTAGAATTCTCCGTGACTCATCCACCCCCATCGATGACAATATTCACTCGTTATTGTTATAAATCCGGTCGATGATCTCTTTTTCAATTTTATAATGATTAAAAATTAAAAAGGGACGAATTTTGTGATTTTTTATTTGATGTTTTTTTAGAAAGTACATTCATTAATTAATGATAATTCTAAAATATTGAAAGAAAAATTATAATCTAAAATGCAGTTTATTAAAATACTTAAAAGAATTTACAAAATTACTTATGAATTTATTAAATTTCTTCATTAAAATGTTTCAATTTTTAGCAGATTATTATATTTTTTTAAATTATTCTTTTAGTTAAAAGTAGTTAGAATTTGTCAGGAAATTGCAAAATTTGATTATGTTTCAGTTAAACAAAGATATTTCTCAATTGTTAACTATCAATAATTAACATAAAAAAGTAATTTATAAATTATCTTTTATGTAGTATTATTTATTTATTCTGGGTTTCAATTTAAAGCCAGAATTATTCAATTAAATTGAAATAATTCATGAAATGAATATAAAAGAAACCTGAATGCTAGATTTAAGGCAATTTTGAATTAATTGTTTTAGTAGCTATTTAATTTTCATCTTTTATAATAAGAATTATCATCATTAGAAATTGTATATGAAATTTATATCTAGTACTTTTAAGTCTATTGTAGTTTTGTATTTGTAAATTATTATCCATTTAATTTTAGATCATAACTGCACAAATATGATTCCTGAACCCGACTACAGTGATTCTGAAGAGGAAAACGAGCATGGACTTCGTCACACGCGGGCATCTAAAACTAGTTCTTCCAATGGAACATATGTAGATGATGTATTGATTTCTCCTAAGAAACTCACCAACCCTTGCCTTGAATCTATAGAAAGACAAAACTTGCATAAAGAGCTTCTTTTTAATCAAAAAATGTATGTTTTGATTTATTTTTTGGTTGATTAAAAGATTAGTCTTAAACTAGCTTTAGCTTTAAAACCATTTTTTCACATAGAATATACAAAAACATCCAGAATTAAGTATGTTTAAAAACTTAAAAATTTTTTTTTATTTGACTTTAGTGCATGATCTACTTCAGATAAAATCAATAATTATATATACAGTATTTTTTTCCTACAAACTCAATTTGCATATTACTGTACTAAAAAATTAAATTTAAATATAAAAATTTATGAATTACAAATGAATTTATTGCTTGTGCTTTGAGGAGTTGGGTTCAAATTTGAATAGGCTCAGAAACTTTCACAAGTGGGTTGATCCAGAAATCAGGCCCATCTTCACCATGCAGTCACTCTGCCACAATGATTAGTCAAAACTTGACATGCTCAGACAGATCATTGTGGGTATGAAAAAGGCTTTCTTACTATTATTGGGGCACCAACAACTAATAAATTAATATTTTAATTTAAATAATATCATTTCTATAATTTTTATATGAATAATTTTCCTTCAAAACGTTTTAAAATAAACGTATTATTAAAATAGATTATTATGAAGAATTTAATTTTGATATTTTATTGGAAGTAAACAAATATATACCATAAATAATTTTCTTTCTAAGAAGTTATAGTCATCTTAATAACATTTAGTAATATTTTTAGAATAAACAAACAAATAATTTTTTAAACATGTTTTTATTTCAGAGGTAAAAGTGTTTTGGGTCAAAAATCCGAATTACAAAAAGCAATGGACAAATTTCGTGAAGATCAAAAGAAAAAAGAGTTGGAAGAAGAACGGTTAAAGAAACGAACAGTTTTGGAAAAGAAACTTGAAGAGCAAGCAAATAAATTGAAACAGGTAAAAAAATATCAATACAATTTTAAATTTAAAAATATAATTTATCAGACTGAAATAAAGTTTAATTTTATAATTATTTGTCTTTATGGTGGTAAAAAATTTCTAACTAGACAAATGTGACAACTATAAAATTAAGAACTAAAAATCCAACAATATCTAAATCTTTTCAGCCATCATCAGGTTTTGGAATGGAACAAATTCACAAATGTACTGTACATTTTATCTTAAGATATTCTATAAGAAAACAGAATAATTAATTACAAATAACTTATCATAAACTTTGTCTTTACAATTTCAAGCTTTTAAGCCCATTTTCAGGAATAAAAAAAAAATACATTCTTCAAATTCTTTCATATTTTGTTCAAATATTTAATCATTCTAATTCATGAGCAAACTAACTGCCATGCACCATCTGCTAGAAAATTTGAAAAGTTGAAGGTAAATTTAGAATGATAATACTAGCCAAATATATGTTTGCTTCATTCCAGTTAAACAATGCCAGCTTCAATGATCAACATTGGATTTTAATTTTATATAAAAGTATTTTGTAAAGAAAACATTGTCATTAAAAGCTATAAAATATCCTACCCTTTTTTTTTTATAAATTCACTTGTTACAAGTGAAAATACAAAAAAGTAGTTTCATAGTTACCCATATGAGATTTTATTTGATGAGATTATAACAGAAATTAGCAGGATGATATAATAGAATAATAAATGTCACTACAGTAATGTTTATCATTAATTACATAAACAAACCAGGCAAAATCTAGCAATTTTGATTGTTATAGGCACCAATATCAATCTGTATATATTGTGGGGGAGGTCAGGCCAATGACAAAAAGTAACAAAAAATCTTTCATGATTTAAATGGATATAAAAAATAAGGTGTGCTTGTTTCTATTCCTAATTTTTGCAATACCAGTCGACCCCCCTACAACACTGTTGAATATTCCGTTTTATATGAATTCCATGTTGTACGAGTCACTTAGATTTTACAAATACATGTGCTGGGCTGTGAATGGCTCACATATTTGTAAAATCTAAGCGACTCGTACAACATTGAATTCATATAAAACGGAATAATCAACAGTGTTATAGGGGGGTCGACTGGTACAGTATAAATTTAAAATAGATATATTTTTAGAAGGGGGACATGTCCCCTCTTTTCCTTATGGATCAATGCTTGTGATTATAGGGTGTTTTTTAAATGTTGGTAATTTTAATAATAATACAGGTTTCTAATTTATTTATGAAAATTTAAAAAAACTTGCCAACTCAATTTTTTTTTTACAATATTTATGATGTAAAGGAACTATTTTATTGCAAAAGAGTAGAGTTTCCACAAAAAGAAAGATCACTTTTATGCAAGTGAATTAAATTTATCTTAATTTATTAATAAAAACCTACACATTTACAATAAAACAAAATGTAATTTATATTATTTTAGAAAATATTTATGTATAAAACTGAAATTTTTTATAAAAAAAAAACTTTAAATATCAGGTCAGTCCATAAGTTCCTGCTTATTTTATGACCTTGAGAAAAATCTTGTTTTGTTGTTAAAAATGCCAGTCTAATGTGATACTTTTTACACTGAAGTGTTAAATTGGATCTCATTCATATAATACGTTCAGAATTGGGAACATTTCAGTTGTTTATTTTCGTTAAAATGGAAGTAACAGATGAATATAAGAGACATGTTTTATACTTTTTATTTTTAAGTGATGAGAATGCTACAAATGCAGCCAAAAAATTAAATACTGTTCATAATCAAACTGTAATTAGTGTAAGGACTGCGCAGAAGTGGTTTGAAAGATTTAGAAATAATGATTTTAGTGTGGAGGATAAGGCTCGTACTGGAAGACCTGTTGACTTTGATGATGATGCTCTCTCTGCACTAGTTGAAGCAGAACCATCTTTAACAGTTGATGAAATTGCGGAACGTTTAAATTCATCCCATGGAACTGTTCATAGACATCTACAACAAATCGGAAAAGTTTCAAAGCTAGGAAAATGGATACCACATGAACTGTCAATAGCTAACTGACAACAACGTCAACTGCTCAACTCAAAAGCTTCAACTGGGAAATTTTACCTCATCCACCATATTTGCCAGATATTGCTCCCAGTGATTATCATCTTTTTCGGAGTTTGCAGAATTTTTTAAAAGGAAAAACTTTTGAGGATGAGAACAATGTAAAAAAGGCTATTTCTGAATATTTTGATTCAAAACCGAAATCATTTTACAAAGACGGGATTAAAAAGCTACCATCAAGATGGCAAGAAATTGTACAAAATAATGGTGAATACATTATAGATTGAAATAAAATTTAGTTAAAATTTTTTGTTGCTTTTTTTGTAGATAAAAATGCGCACGAACTTATGGACTGACCTGATACATGAATTTGTCATGTTTTAAATGTCTTAAAAAGTTTAATGCATACACATTACAAAATCTAAATTCATGTAATAAATGTATAATATTTTACAATATAATATTTAAAATTACATATTTTTTCCTAAACTACATATATATTAGTTTTTTATATATAGAGTATTTTATATACATATAAAATACTGTAATTGATTATCTAATTTTAACTGTCAATTCATTGTTTATCTGTCAAGTCCTATCTTTGTGGAAGACAACTCTCTGATAATTTTCAAGAAGCTTTGTACTGTTATGAAATGTTTACAGATCAGAACATCTGATATCAATTTTTGATATAAATAACTTTTTGTTTAAAAGTTTTACAGTCTTACTACTATTTTAAAAATTATATTGTAATATATTTGTATTTAATTTTTGAAAATTTAATGTGTTTCATATTTTATGCAAATCTAGTAATAATTATTACAGATACACAGAGTAATGTAAATTTAAATATAGGGAATTTTAAATGACCAAAGTTTTTTTTCATTATTTTTTATAAATCTTTCCTACAGATTTGAAAGTCAACCAGTTAAAATTGGATCATAGTTATACACAAAACATGACTATTTTACAATAATAAATGTGCATAAAATAATTCTATTCTAATAGTTATGTACTAAATAAGTACATAATGTACAAAAATAGTCAATTTTTAAGTTTGGTAGAAATTTTGATATTGCAAGACTTATTATTCCACTGCTTGGGATCGACATTAAAACTTCAAATTTTTCATGTGACTTAACATCAACATCTCAGACTTCATTCATCATTATCTGACTTATGGGCATGGAAAAAATGCCCACAACTCTGAAAATGTCCCTAAGACAAGTAAATTCCTGCCTTATAGGCTATTACTGAGAGTTTTTACTTATAAGCAAAAATTTGTTCACTCAAATTTATTATTCACTTTTGTCTTATCATTGTCCACTTTTTAGTATTTTATATCTCAATAGGCTAATTGATATTTAAACCCTAAGCAGCTTATGTTGTTAGTTCTTTTAACCTACATATAAAAAATTTGCAAATTCATCTGCAATGAATTTAAGACTAATCTATATTTACAGATTAGATGATTATAATTTTCTTAAAATATCTACTATTTAAAAGATTTGTAGATTAGAATTTAGTCTGCTTCAAATAGTAGCATAAATTTATTCAGATATCTCTCTAAGTTAGTAACTTCATATTTGTAAGTAAAATTGATAAACTTTAATGAGAGTACATGTTGGAAACAATACAAGAGTTTATAAATCTTATAACTGATTGTAAAGAAAATATCTGATCTTAGGGATTATTATATTAACCTTGAGGTCACTTATAACTGTAATGATTAATCAAGATAGTCTCAAACACTAAACAGGATAACTCAAAATCAAAACTATAATTTAAAAGTCTCAATTTGAATTTTGTGAGGTCAAGAATTAATTAATTAATTCGTAATAATTCAGCAAAACTTATGCGAGAGCATCACTCAACAGCTGCTCATCCTCCCTTCCTCTCTCAAAATGATAAAGTATTCAGAAACAAACAAGTAGCACAGGTTACTTCAAAAGTGAGTATGAAATCAGTAGAAAATGACATTTAAGGGAAGTTAGAAAGTTCCTAAAATCATACTCATATAAAAAAGATTGTGTATAAACCTAGACAAAAATAAGAAAAATCATTTAAAAGTTTCAAATAAACATTATTTTTCAATAACAAGCATATAAATCTTAAGTGATATTAGATGATAATAATCTGTATTTTTTGCTATTTGAATTTAAATTCAAATATTCTAATAATTGAATTTTATGAAAAAGTAATAATTACATGTCATCAAATGCAAGAGAACTTTGTTTTGTTCACCAACTCCATTAATCAATATTTTTCATTGGCCAGCAAAAACAGGTTTCTCTGCTTAGATGTCATAATTCACACTTCAACTACTGATAACCTCAAAAAGAATAAAATAAGCATGTTTGGATGCAATGCCAAGTGAGCATGCCATGTAAAGGTGAATGCCTTTACATCATATCTTCATCATTAAATTGTGATGTTTTCCCTGATTTGCACATTATTCAAAAAAACCTTACTTTGAATTCCAAATAATTGTGAGAATGAGTTGCACTTATTCTCAATTAAAGTAAAAAACAATAGTCTAAGGCAGTGTTTTTCAACCAGGGTACCATGGTGCCACGATTGGGGTGTCGCAAAGTTTAGGGCCTTTAGTCATTTTCTTGGAAATTTACTTAAGTGTAGTTCAAGATAACTCATTGTCAGTTCTACTTTGCTACTAGATATCTAGTAAGCAAAGAAACGATGACTAATCGCATGTTAATGTAATGTTCAACACTACGTATACGCACGAGTTCGCCCAAACCACATTACTTGGCCTTCACATTCCCAGTCCCAGTACCAGGCCAACCAGCAGAGAAGAACGACATGGACACTTGTGTCTTGAATATACTTTAAAAAGCGTGCACAATGTAGATGCATATTACAGTACTTTCATAGTATTCAAAAGCAATGATGACAAATAAGCAATTTGTTATCATTTTTTTAATTTAATTTTTTTAAATTGATATGAAAAAGAAAAAAGTAATGAAATAATTATTTTATATGTGCATCAAAATAGTTTAAAAAACTTAACAAAAATTGTTTATCAATAAAATAATAATATAAAATGATGATATATTTGATGATAAAACTAAATTTAAAAAACAATAGAGAGACTATTATTTTACATGTAGGTATTTCGACAAAATTCAGTGGACTTAAATTTTGATTTTAAACACGTAGAAACGCTGTTTTTTTGCATTAAAATGCTTCTTCAAATTGTCAATTTTTAAAAGTTTTCTTCCCGGGAAGGGAGTCCCTCCCCGTACCCCACCCCAGCGTTGCACGTAATATTCGTTTTCACAAAAAGTTTATCTGGCCCATTAGCCTCCTTATTCAGATCCGCACGCTGTCACGATTTTTTATTTTTCAATCAGGGGTGCCACTCGATGAAAAAGGTTGAAAAACACTGGTCTAAGGTGAAGGTGTAAAGTTGAAGTAACAAATTCCAAACACAGTGTGGAAAAAAAAAATACTAATTTGAAAATGTGATAAGCAAAAGAAATCTTAGTCAAATTTCGGAACATTTTATTTTCCTTGATAATACACCTGGATTACCGAGGCAGTTAAGGTATCAGTCTACTGCTTTGTGGACCAGAGATCAAATCCAGATAAGCAACTGCAGGAATGTTTCATGGACTATGCAGTCTGGATATATCAGGTCTCTGTCCTTTGCTATGGGCCTGGCCAAACTCATGGGTGGGCTTGAATAAAAAGCCTCCTTAGTGCCCACAGGGCTGAACAAGACATGGAAAACAACCTCTCCTTGTTCATTTTCAGAATATTTTTGAGTAGTTTTTGTTTTCCAAACAGCTGGCAATTGAGGATGAGTGGCTCAAGTGATACTTTTGAATTCCATCCTTAATTCTATTATTTGTTGTATTTAATCTTATAATATAATTGAGATGGGTTGATAATGATAATAATAATAACAGAGCCCAAATGGTTAGGAATTGAAAGTTGAAATTTGGTACAGTTAGGTACGTCATGAGAACGTACACTAAGAAGGGATTTTTTGAAATTCCCCCTGCGGGGGAGATGGACAGGTTTAAGGCTTACTGTGAAGAACTCTGCTTCTACTATACTATTATAAATGCAGGTTTTTGCATTTATGCGGGAAATCAAACATATTTTTAGACCCTTCTAAAAATTCTCAATGATATTTAGTGTTTCATTGTATATAAAGTTGACACAGGGAGCACATGCACATAAGTTCGCTTTATTCAAACTCTTTGTCTTAATGTTCAAATTTATATTTATGAATGATTCTGGAAGATCCAGCTTATTTTTCAAATTTATTAAACCTGAAGAACAACCCAGAAAAAGTTACAAAATCACTTTATTATTTATCAATTAAGTGGTACTATGCACCAGTTAGTGGGTTGCAGTGAGTCTTATTTATCGTTATTCTGGTGTGGTAAGCAGATATCTAAAAATTTTCTAGTCTTGGAAAAGGGGGGACATAATTCTTGCACTTGGTGAAAATGGGTAAGATCGGCTATAATCTTAATCTTTGCTATCATTACTTTTTGTCTGAGCAACTCCGGGCTCATCTGCTAGTAATATATATATAACAACACAACTCAATTAGTATTGTGCCAAACAATCTGATGAATTATTTATTGGGCTATATTAGGGCTAATTTAATAATTATATAAGCAGTTAGACCACCAAGGAAAGCAGTTAGACCACCATATCAGGATAAAATTAGAAATTCTAAAATTATTTTATTTTTATTAATTACTAAATTCATCCTGAGATATGGTAACCAAATTGCTATATATTATATAAATAATCTTGCAGCTCACTTGGCAGTATGTTGTATTTACTTTTAAGTGCTTATAAATCTACATTACTACAGATAAATATGTTTTATGGTTGCTGGCAAAGTATTTAATTTGTCAAAATATCTTGATATATTATCATAACACACATTATTTTTAGGACAATTAGTGCAAAGACAAGAGATGTAATATAATTTCTCATGCAATATCATTAGAAGTAATCTAATTAAAAAAAAACTCCAAAACCATGAAGGAAATAATTTAATTCCTATAACTTATGAACTAATGAGCACATAAGCAACTTCTTTATCACCAACTCATTTTGTTAGTTTAAATACCTTAATAAATATGTAAATCCCTTACTTAACTTTTTACTCTTCATATAATGGTTTGATTGTTTTTGATTAGTCGAAAAGTGAAGGTCACTTGTAAAATTTTTATTACATAAATCCATATTTATATTGACAAATACAATGAAGATGATCATCAAAACTCACAATAAATTTTCAAATATTTTGCAACAATTATTGATAATAGTACAAAGAATAGAAATACATCCAATATTGATAATTTCTAAACACAATAAATTTTTAATAACAATAGGTATCTAAAAGCCACACTGTTTTCTAGATACAATTAATAAATTAGCTGAAATTGTAACTAAATCATTATTAGGCAAAATTCTGTAATTAAATAATGATCCAAGTTTTCATCATTTTTTACCTTTTAAGCCAGTTATACAACAAATTTGGCATTTTTTAAGTATAAATACAAGACTATCAACTTCATTATTATTCCAAATGATAATTAGGCCAAAGTATAAAAATCTATTGATTGGGTATCCACTTCGAAATGTTATGCAAGATAATTCTGGTAGTGACGATAACTATTTTGACATTTTTTAATAATAAATGGCAGTCCATATTTGTGGATTAAAACATATAAATGGCTCTTGTTATGAGTGGCCTACAATCTTTAAGGTCTGATGTAAAAGTTTATTTTAAACAAACAATAGGTGAAAATAAATTTTAATTTATGACATAATTAACTTAGCATTATCATCATTTATTCTAAAGGGCTACAGTTTTAAGTGCTTTTAATGATTTGTTTATATCATCATCTATTTTAATTTGTATTTAATATATGACTTATTTAAATTGATGTTCAATTTATGAAATTCTAGCAAGAAGAGCAAGATTTAAAGAAGGACGAACCACAGGACCAACCTGAATTTCTTCGCGTGCACGCGAGAGTCTGTGCCCAGACGGTGTCGGTGGATTCGAAGTCTTCATAGTGCGAATGCCCTGGCTAAACACTGTACATACCTCGAACACAAAAAACGAACGATATATGCAAGGGGGGAGTAAGTAGCAAAGAGCAGTATTAGTTTCATCTCTGTTGAGTAAATATATTTTTAAGACGCCCTCCGTATTATTTTGGCGTCGGCGATGTTTACTTAGATCGTAAATGTTTTATCGAAGTTTGGCATCGTTTAATCCGTTTACAGCAGATTGTATTTGAATTTTATGTACAAATTGCATGGAATTCGACCAGATTTGTTCTGTCATCGACCATATTTATGCGAAAATGTTCAAATGTTCTACTTAATGTTCAAAGCACTACCACTGTTGCAATGGTGTTGAGTTACAGTACTGTAGAAAACCATACATTGTTATTCTAAACGGAAATATTTTTAGAATGTTATCAATCCATGTGTTGTATTTCTATTTTATTTTACAAAATATTTTGATATACTTTATTAAATGTCTTGACAAAAAATATATTATCTAACCAAAAGGTAATTTATAAATACTAACAATCAATTAACCCACTAAAGAAATCAAACTGTAACTAAACCAAAAACCATTGCCCGTGTGCAAAGTGCCAAGAATATCGCTACACGATTCCGAGCCGGATCGTGATTCTGTAAATTTGTTCTATCTAATGTACTATACCTATTTGAAATTTAACATATCTAAGTTCTGTTATTGCAAAATAACTGTTTTGTAACATTTAAATAACTCGCAATGACTGTTCCAGTGAAATAAAAACTAATTTCTTAAAAAAAGCTAAACAGTTCCAAGAATTTTTTATTTGTCATAATTTACACATAGTTCCAAAAATGTAACACTTTTGTAATAAATTGGTAAGCGATAACAGATTTGAATCACTTTACAGTGGCATAAGTCAAATGGAAATTTATCACAGATATTTTTCTTCAAAATGCAAGCAAATTTAGTTAATTTGCATTTGGCGCATTGTTCACATTTAAATTTCAACAGAACATTGCACCATATTTCAAAAACTGCAAAATAAATTTCATCTAACAGAAATGTTGGATAAATTATTAAATAAATATACATTTATTTATGTAGCGTATTGATTTTCATACATGCATTAATATACAAAAATAACAAAATTTCGTTTAATCATTCTTTAATATCACAGTTAAGCTTATAGAATTCGAACGTGATTGTATCTATTTCTGGAAAACCAAAATTAACAATTGAGGTAGCATACTGTATTTAAAAAATACTTTAAAATATAAAATTAATTTCTTCATATTTAAATTTAAAAAATTTGCTCGTTGCTTAGAAATAGATATTGTAACTGGCATTTGCTATTTCCAAATTCATATTTTTGGGATTCTCATCTAATAAATACATTGAGTATATATACTTTATACAATATTGGAATTAAATAAACCTAAAAACTATGATCATCAACTAAGCTTCCTACACCACTGCAAATTTGACATGCCTGACACATGAATTAACCTGGCCAGACCGGCTTGGCCACCGGAGAAAAGCCAGTGCTGATAATCAAGATTTGGATTCCAACATACCTATAATAAAAATATTGTAAACTACTCAAAGTTTATTGTTTAAATTGTTAATAGACCAATTTCTTACCGAGTTAATGGAAGTTAAAGGATAATCGTTTATCTTGGTAAAATTCATGGATGTGGAAGTCTTGATTCGTTCAATGTCCTTCTTGGACAATTTGTTTAGCTAAATTTGAATAAGAATAAACAACATTAGTTTTTTGCTTGTAGAATATTAAGTGTTAAAATTTCATAAAATAAGAATTTATTTAGAAAACTTATATTAGTTTTTATCATTAAACTTAATATAACAAATAAAATTACATTTACAAATTCTTTTATCACAATTCCATAATTAGCTGTTACGGTGCCATAAGTTTGCTTTGGGGGGAGCTTTTTGGACTCTCTAACGTCTCCTACATTTTCTTCTTGAATGCCAGAATCTACACTAATGGGCGATTGTATTTCCATATCAGTAATTGGAACTATTCCCTCCTTTGTAGCTCTCTCTTCTTTATCCAACGGCTCCAACTCAATCCTGTACAATGGCTAGAAAATGGCTAATTTTACGGAACAAATCTCATGTTTTACCGAATAAGAACGCATTAATATTACCACACGAGAATGCCAGGGGTAGGATTTTCTTCTCTCCAAACAATGCAACATTACTCCCACGAGTTCCCCAGAAGAGTCACAACTGACCATCATATCTTTCCAACCAGAAATTGAAATATCCTAAGTGTGAAATAAGTCACATTTATATATTTTTCAATAAAACAAAATTAACAAGAAAAAAAAAATAGTAGTACCCAAATACAACCGTTATGAACACTCAAAGAATATGAATTCGTGTCCTCAAAGTTCAAAATATTTGCAGAATTATTGTAACTAAAAGAAATAAATTATAATTAATGATAAAATAAGAATTTTGAGGAAAGAGAACTAAAAGCTTACAAAAATATTACTTTTTATAGCAGTAATCAGTAGTAAAAAATATTCCTCTTGGTTGCCATTCCAGACTCTGAAATAATCCTTGTCTATAAACATACACAGGCCAATCTGTAGCAAATATTCAAATTTTAGTATTTTATATTAATTATATTTATAATTCTTAAAATTTGTGAATGATGAAACCAAGATAAGTTATTTTAATCCAAAATAATATGTGATATTTTATTCTTTCCATTTTTTGTAGCAGACAGAAACAATTTGAAAAAATTATATTGACATTATACAAACAAATGAACAAAAAGTTTAGTAGATTTGGCAACACCAAACTGACTGTGCTTGCAACTGTCTCCTATAGGTCTTGGGAAATTTTTAAGTCTCAAACATTTAGGCTATTTATTTTATATAGACTGGAGGGATAACATTTGAACTCTGCATGCCAGCTGCTTTTATTCCTTACAAGTAAACTTTTCGTGTTTGATTGCTCCTTACAATTAAAATATTGAACTATTTCTGCTTTTATCACAGAATGATGATTGTCACATACTTTTTTCATTTATACTTTTTCTGGTATTTTATAATAAAATTAAAATTTTAATTCATATCAGTATGAGCCATGTATAATTTAGCTATTAATATGAGCTACATAGTAGATATTCAATAAACTAATTTTAATGATATAATTTTCTTAAAATCCAATATGTATTTAATAATAATAACAAGTTAGTTGTAGCAAGTTAATTCCAAGAATGTAAAAAAAACAAAACTCTTAAAAGTATCGGTGGGTTTAAGATAGAACCACCACAATCTAAACACTTCAGTAATATTCCCACAATAAATCAAAAATTCTTATGCAGTTATTAAAAATATTCTTAATGTCAAAGCCAAGGGCCAAGAAGGTTCCTTCTTGTCTCCTATTTATTGCAATCCCTTGATCTGACAAATTTTAAGACTATCTCAAAGACTAACTTTACTCCAATAATACAACATAAAACTAGAAACATAACCATAAATTTATATCTAGCTGGAGATTAGGGTGGTCCATAAAAAAATTTTTTTCGTTCAGTTTGGCCACCCAGTAAATTTGTAACATGTATCCATAGCAATGACATTGTATAATTTCAGTACTAGACTGTGAGTGAATCAATGCATTAAAATGAGTTTATCAACTCGAAAAAAATACGACATTTTTCTACTTGAATGTCAGGATCTTGAGCCATTGGTAAGGATTAACCAACTTCTAACTCTTTGGCAAATTCTACTTCATTATCACCACATATTAAATGAATTAAAAAATGTGAAAGATTCTGTGCATATGCTCATTCAAGAAGCCATAAGAGGTGTGGAGCAAATCTGGTATTCCAACCAGACAACCAAATCACTGCATTGAAAAACTTTAAACATTCATAAGAAATGGCTGCTTTTAAAGAAAAATAAAACAAGAGATTCGGAAGCACAAAAAAATTGAGAGCATTTGTTTACAGAAGAGCTACACAAACTTTTTGATATTGCCCTTGCAAATGCCATGAACTCAATCAAAATTGCAGAAGACAGAGAGTTTCTCATTGATCAAAGAGGTAAGCGTAAGATGATTGACATCGATTAACAAGAAGCTGGAAAAGACCAAAGAATGTTCTCTAAAACAAAAACAAAGAGCTGAAGAATTAAGAGAAAAGGCCGCTAAAAGTAATGTTTCAACTTTCGGTAGTGTCAAGTCAAGAACTAGAACTTGATTTCAGCTTCAGTAGCACTTCTAGTGCCATAACATAAGCAAGATGATTTTGTGGTTGCTTTACCAAAAAAGACAGAGCGCTACCAGTGCCAGTGACGTTGTGCCATAGACTAGTAGTATATTTACACAATATGTTACCAGCGCTTTTGATCGTAACAAAATAAGCGACTGAGAAGCAGTGTGACTGATTATTCCATTGTCTGCCGCACTTGGTTATAATCCCACTTCATTCCCAATCTCTCAAAGCACAATTTGATGTGCAAGAAAAAAAGCATGAACAGAATTCAATGTGAATATAAAAGAAACATTTGACCTGACTTATCCACTTTAATACATTGGGATGGGAAAATACTGCCCGATATAACAGGTAATAAGAAAGTAGAGCACCTTCTGATTCTTGTCTCCAGTAATGGTTGCGAAAAACTCTTAAGCATATCCAAATTTACTATACAAATGGGGGAATTCGGTGTACTCATATACACCAAGATTTGGATTGAAGCGCCTTTGGCAGCAAATGCACCGATTAATGACTTGTAACTTTGGATGAGATTAAAATCATATGAAGCCATTGATTCTGAAATTGGTGCAGCAGCAAGGGGTGTCTTAGAACATCACTTGTGGTACTTGTCTCATGAGCTAGTTGCCTTTGCCTTGTTTTCTGACAAGCTGTCTTATAGCAAGAAAATGGCCATTGTTCAAAGATGGATGTTGATGGTGGTTCTTGTTTAGTATGAGGTGACTCTGCTAAACTATCCACAGAAGCCACATTAGAAGCCTTTGCATTTCAAAGAATGCTGAAAACACTCTCAGTTCTAGATAACAAGGACTCTTTCTTGTAATTACCTCCTGAGACTTGTGGTGACAATGTTGATTACCTTCAAGGCAAAAGTTGCATAAGAAATTTGCATGTGATTAATGACACTGCGGAGAAGGGTGTAAAACTATTTGAATATTACAATGCGATACTCACTAAGAATGAGGAAGAAAAACAATTTTTACTTAATGTCGTTGAACAGAACAGAAAGATTGTTTCTACTGAAACATCCAGAAAAGTGCTAACGAACTTAGTTTTAGGTTGAGAAAAAAAAGAACTGTAATTAATATTATTTTAAGTATTGCTTTGTTTATAACATTTTGAATAAAAAAACTTACTTTTGATACATAGTTTACATTTTTTACTTAATATCCTGACTAGTTCTTTTTAAGGATTTTTTCATAAAATTCAGATATTTCAAAGTTGATGAGCACTCCCTTGTATATAAGATGGGCGGCTAAAATTTTGAACACATAATAGGAATGGTAGGTGTAACAAAACGAGGGGGTGGCATAACTTCCACATGAAAATTTATTTTCGCTATTTAAGCATCGGACCATCCCTACTGGAGATATATTTCAAACATCCAAACTTGTGTTTTAAACTGGATATGTCTGCAAATTCTCATTCTAACTTTAAACCTGAAATGATTGACTAGTGAAAAGAATCCAAACACAAAATGATAATTCCATTAAGTAAATTAAGGATTTCTCTACTTGTAAGCTGTGTGTGTTGTTAGAATACATTTAATTTCATTAAATATGATTCAATTTGAATTATAAATGTTAATAATTAAAAAATCTCTCTCTATAAACTGCAAAAAGAGCATTTATAGGCCTTCATCAAGATGTTCTTTGAACACCTTGTACCCATCTCCACATATCTATCTTGATATTGAGGAGACTGGTTTCTTTTTCATGATAAAAATTAGTGTTTATGCATAAAATGTTTTTCTAATAGTCCTTTCTCATTTTGAACTTAAAAAAGTTCAAATTATGTGCTTTGATCATTAATGTTATACATATATACATATAAAATATTTATAAATAAAGAGAACAAATATGAAATATTTACTAGGATTATCCAAATTCCAAATTTTCAAAGTTCTTTCGGCAGATGCACTGGCCAGAAAGTGCCCACACTCAGATGGACTCCAAGCCAGATCTGTGATGTTGGTCAAAGCACCACAGAAAGACAAATGCGGAAAAATGGTCAACCGATTTTCTTCAGAAAATTTTAAAAGAGGAGATGATGTGAACAGATCCCATACAAAGATCATTCCTGCAATAAAACAACAAATTTTGAAAATCTTAAGCAATTCTACAACAAATAATAAACTCCAACACTTGTTAATACAGTCGATTTCTGTTTAATTGGGCTACCGGTTAATCGGGGCAGCCACTTTATTGGGCCAAATCTCAAAAAATGGAAACCAAACGAATAAATTAATACATAATTTAATCGCTTAATTGGGACAGTAGCAGAAAAGGAATTTAGCAATTTTGGATATATTTTAGGGATATTCTGAAAACATCTAGACACTACGTACAGTACACTAATGTCATGTAGGCCTAATGGTTAGCAGAGAGAGCAGAGAGAGAGAGAGAGAGATTTTGTCTTTTGTTTGGGCAGTTCAGTTTTTCCAGAGGGAGTCAGAATAGCAGGACATATCACATGGGGATCCCATCTGAGGCAGAGCTGAATGCGAGCTACTGCTCTGTATTGGACCAGATGATCCCTTAAAAGTGAAGGGACAAAGATCCCCTGACAATTTTTCAAGGTCTCTCGACTGAGTTAGATGACAGCTAGAGTTCCCTTAGAAGGTATTATGTGCATAATTATGTATAGATTAGGACAACAGCCATCTGATCATTGAGACCAGCATCTGGAGCTGGCAGATTCTACAGATGCTTCTGCCGAAGTGGTCCATCTCCAAGTAAAGGAAATTGTGCTCAAAGGAAGACCATAAGGTGACTTTTGGATGAACCCTTTCCTTTCTCCCTTTTTAGTAGAACATGTTCTAACTAAAAAGGGAGAAGGGAAAAATTGTTCAATTAGGAACAAATCAAACAGTTAACCCTTGTGTATGCCACTACTAATACTGTATTTGGCAAAACTAGTGTGATGTGAATCACTTATCTATCGTCATGAGTCTGGCAAATTTATATTACAAATATTTTCTGTATTTTGGTTTAATAAAACATTAAAATAGGTAACAAATTCTAAAATAAAATATGTAATACCTAAGTAAAAAATAATAATTTATTATTAGTTTGTTTAATTGGGGCAGCCACTTAATTGGGCCAAAATGGATTAGTCCCATCATGTCCCAATTAAGCAGAATCGACTGTATTATAATTGATCTTTATAAATGTATCGAAAAATTTTATTCTAGTGCAAAAATAAATAAAAATTGTCAACTAAAATATTTCAGAATTAATACAATATTGATACAATCTTGACAGTGTCAGAAAATAGAATCTCTGCTAAGACTGAATTAAGTGGATCTTAAAAGAATGAGGACATTTAATATGACTGTAGCAGAAAGACTGTTTTCTGATGATCAGTCAAAATTCCTTTAGCACTTAATATTGATTGCACATCAGTAGATATGAATATTTATATAAATACCGACTGTAAATTCTTTGACTGTTCTTTGCTGCATGCTATATTTTACAAGTACTAAATTATTATTTATCAAATTTTAAATTTTATATACATTTCTTCCCAATTAATATTTTTATATAGTTTGAGATGATAACAGAGCTCATTCATCTCAACTCTTCAGACTATATTACACTTGTGTATACACAAGTGTAATATACTTGTATACAATCCAACCATTTATGATTAAATACAAAAAAAATTTCATTTGAATAAATGAACGATTAAAGTCATGGAAGAATACATGTCATTTCATATTCAAATTCTCTTTGATAAAAGTAATAAATTTGGTTCAGTTTGGTATTAATTTTAAATTATACACAAAAGATGGATTATAACATTTAGACATTAATCATCATACCTTTTATTGGGAAAAAGGGGGTATTATTATTATATGAATAAATTTCATTTCTAAATTCATTAAATTGCATTTATATTATTTATATTTCACATATATAAATAATATCAAAGGCTTAACAATAGAGTTGTGCCAGTCATCTATCTAAACCCTTTCAGGGAAAAATTTTTGAATTGAAATAACATGATTTCCGGTTTGAATCTGAAGTCCTTATATAGTTAATTGGAGGCCTTCTGCTCCTGAGGTTTCCATAGCTGGTCTTGTCTTTCATCTATCTAACTCCATTCTCGAGATTAAAGAAGAAAGATGGTGGACAGACGACAGTAAAAATTTAAAGGTCTACAATCTTTTCAAATTGCAGCCCAAAAATGTTCTGAAACTAAATTAACTTTAGACCTGTTAGAAAATATTTATCTGTGACCACAAAACTATGGAAAATGGCTTTTGGCTGCACTTATGTGAAAATGTAAGGACAATCTTAAACAATAGCATAAATTTTTCTTCATATTTGGACAGGACTTATTACCAAATTAAATTTTGTAAAAAATCATGTCCAAAACAACACCTATTTCAATGATACACAGAAAATGAAAAATTACAAAATAAGCTCCCCAGATTGGAGAATCTTGCAGAATTGAAACTTCATGAAAGTTTCTTTGTGGCCACATTTAAGTCCTGTCCTAGAAAATGTAACTTAGTAATAATAATAATTTTCACTTTCTTTACATTGAATAATTATGATGGAAAATGATGGAATTTTGCATTGACTGTAAACACACATTCTAGTTACTATTTTCAATATATAATTTAATGATAAATTAAAAGAGTTGACATATAATAAGCTGATATTAAAGTTAGAAATAGAGCAATTCAGTTGTCTTTCTGACTACTGAATACTAAATATTCAGTTGATTTCTTTGAACTGCCTAAAACAGAAAGCTTAGACTAAGCCTTAGAATAAGGCAAAGGGTAGCAACTTCTATCCAATAATAAAGATTATATAAGTTATTTTTTAAAAATTATTATTATATAATGAAAAGTAAAAACCTAAATCTTACCATAGAGATCCACCATTTTTGGCAGTTCCACAACAAAGCAGTGTACAATAAACCCACACTAATTTTAACTGCATAACTCAGAAAATTTTTTCAAAAAAAATAAAATAGTGATCTAAAATTTCTTGACAATACTATGCATTATATTATTGTAGTTGATAAGTTACTAAAGACTACATTACTGTATACTATAAGTCATGAAATTTTTTGAGCTCATTTCCTGTAATTAATAAATTACTGTACTACATATCCACCTTCTCATTTTCTACAGAAATAATTGGAAACATTTTATAATATATAATTTTATTTTATGCAACTAGCTTTGAAAGAGAGCACTCTAATAATTTGAATGACAAAATGAATTCCAAACCTTGCCAATTGATTTAATTAAATGCGTATAATCTGTTTTAAAGGGTTGAAGACTTTGCTAGCATTAATAATTGTTGAAAGGGAGAGATTAATTACCTTGCAAGAAAAATCATTATATGATATATATTTGTTGCCAAGTAAACTAATTATCATAATGATTTTTCATTAAAGCTAATGACTAAATGAACTATAATTCATTTTATATATGTAAGCTAAATAAAAACTTTTTTACATAAAAACAGTATAAAAGATTTAATGTCACTATAGAACTGCTTATAAGGATTAAATTATTTATCTAAATTTACAAATTTCTTATATTCTCCAATTAAAAATGATGAAAAAAGACACTGGTATACAAAAATATGTAAATGATTTCAAACAAAAAATAAGTGTATTTGATAGAGCTTATGTGAATAAAGTATGTAGATTATGTACAATTATTTTATAATATTGTTTTGCATGAATATTGAATGTCTAAGTTATTTGGAAAATATTAACAATAAATCAGTAATTAAAAATAAAATATAGCAATGACTTACCATTGGCAAAACCACCAGCAATAAATCTATTATCATTTGTGGTTTGCCAATCAACACAGGTACAAATACCAAGTTCACTTTGAGGTCCCAACAACTCTTTTGATATCTTCAAGACAATAGCTTCAGTTTGATATATATTAATATTTGATGAATTCTTCTTTAAAAATTCAGGATGGGGAATACTGGAATTTAAAAAAGTTTAATTTATTTAGCATTTCTTCTTTGTTATGCCAAAATGCATAGCAAAAAAGACAAGCTAAAGAAAGTTATATAAGCCTCTTGGTTGTAACCTTTAAACACTGTCTTTTTAGAAGAATCATCTGATATTTCTATGACTCCATATAAATGAATAAATTATTTTTTTCAAAATTCAGAGGATAAGCACTCCGGAATTTCATACTTGCATTTCATAAATTATTAAAATCTAAATTAATTTTATTATAAAATTTTTATCTAAAATAATACTGATGTGTAAATGAATCTATCAAAACTTATATGTATTTTTTTCTTAAAGATATACAGATTTATATATATGTATTACTTGATCATTAACATTTTAAGAAAAAATTATTTAATTTTAAAATGAATATCATGTTTTGCAAATACAAAATATTCATAATATATAAAGATTACAAATACATAAAATTTATAAAATTATATATTAACTTTTATTTATTTAATTATTAATAAAAGATGATAGATGATGGCTCTCATGGGGTAAGGAAACCTCCAAGTAAAAATATTTGTATATTTGACTGTTGAATACAATTAATTCTGTACTAAACATAATATATTATTTTGAAAAGTCAGAATGTATTAAAATGAATGATTTTCTACATTATTTGAATAAATATTTTGTAAATTTATTTTCTAAACTATGTATAAAAATTTGTATTAAATATTCATAATTTGAAAACAAAATAAATAATGAACTTTACATAACATTTCTTAATTATCTGAAAACAAAATTGTCGAAAAAATTTCATAACACAAAAATACTTTATCATCATTTGTTGTTTAATATTTATCAACCTGCAGCAAGGTAAGAAAAGACTAGAAATAGTTTTAACTTTGCACTGTCATCATTTGGCATTATGCAACAATTAAATTATTTATATACAACATAAAAACTTCAGGATATAAAATCAAAAAGTATTAGATAAAAATGTTTTTGTTTATTACTAAACTTTATAGAAATTTTGAATTTACAAAATTCATTTATAAAATCTAAAAACAAATTAACTTGCCAATATAAAAATATACTGAAAATAAACACTATTTTAATATTTCAAATAATATACTTTTAATTATCTATTTATTAATTAGCTTGTCAACTGATGAAAAAAAGCCCAAAAATAAATTTCTGGTTAAATTGGAACAGATTCCCCCAACAAAATGAATTATTATTAGCCAAGCAATAAAAACTTTTCAACCTTTCATGCTGCTTAAAATTACTTAAGTGTTTATTTCATTTTCTTTTGTTAATTTTAATGTATCAACAAAATAATGTAACATAATAAATAACACGTTATACACATATATAAAGTATATTAAAATAAGCTAACAAAACAGAGTTACACAGTCATCAATTATGTCAATTATGTAACTCTCATGTTAATTCATCAATGTTATTAAGTAGTGAAGTCTTAAACTTTAATTGTACAACCAGTATTTTTAGAAATTTTAAAATTTTAATTTTTTTCAAATCATTAATATAAAACACTCTTCTATTAATCTACAAAGATCAAAAGCTCTTTTGTTTGCATTAAGTGATTGTCAACTATGCAGTTGTTTTGTCAGTTTATTACTTTGTACAAATTTTCAGCTTTCACTATAAATTTTATAATATTAATAAATAATAAAGTACCTATAAATTCTTATGCAGCTATCACTACAAGCAACAGCTAATAAACCGAGTCGAGGCAATATTTCATCTGTCAATGTATTTTTATACAGAGATGAATCTTCCCAGCATCCGCTTGGACACCACACCATGTCCCAGATTTCTCCTTGATCAACTGCTATACCGATAAAGTTTGGCGATTTAAATTCTCTGTATTATAAAATGAAATATAAATTAAACAATATGCAAGATTAAAATGAAGATTTTAATAAAATTTTTTTACTTTGTATCATTATTCTCATATTCTGTCAATCCAACATCCCATATCTGTATGAGTGTGGGCTGCAATTTATCTGGAACGAAGTTATGAAATTCATTAGAATCTCGACAACAGCTCAGAGCAACATATTGTGCAGATGTAACGTTTATGGGTGTTGGACACCATGCACTAGCCCAGATTGGTCCTCCTACATAGAATGTTCTATTAGAGTATTCATCTGAAAGTTTTAAAGAGATTATTACAAAATATGAAATAAAATTTTTGATTTTCATTCAGCTTTTTAAAGTTTCAATTTGTAACATTGCAACAAAACATAAATCTAATATTTAACATTTTAAACAAAATAAAAATTTTTAATGCTTTTGATTTTGGAACTATGCAAATTGATGCCACTGAATAAACTGTGATAAAGATAAAATTATTTGCTTCTTTACATATCTAAAAAATTATATTTAAAAATGTTTCCAGTATCTAATCAACATTCAATTGAAGATGACCCATTTAGAGATGGAAAACGTTTCTAAATAAAACTGTTCAGTTACTTGAAGGGCACAATTTTGTTTTTTCATTTTTATAGTTTCTTAATTTTCTATTATTATTAGTTTATTAGTTTTAAGAATTTATTAGTTTCTTAATTCTTAATGAAATATAAATTTCATTTAAAAACAATTGGAGAAAATACAGTAGAGCAGTGATTATCTGAATCAATTGGGGACTGGTGTTGTTTGGAAAATCGATTTTTCGGATAACCAATTATGTATGAAAAAATATATTAACCTATCTCATGTTGAAATTCGTTCAAATCCTGGCACGTCTGTACCCTATCATGGTCGTGCGCAGTGCTGCCAGCTAAAACACACACCAACAAAAATAATATTGGAGTAGCCCAAGACATAGCCACAGCACTAGCAGAAATTTAAATTTTCTGATTGGAAAGCTTTTGGTTAATTGACATTTCGGTTGATCAATATTTGGATAATCAATGCTCTACTGTATGCTTGTATGCAAAGTATTTTGACAAGAAAACAACTCAGTATGTCATACATTACAAAAATCATTCAAATAAATCATCTTTTCTGCTAGAAAAATTAATTCCATCAAGAAAAAAAATAAAAAACTAGCTACTTTAGTTAATTTTGTAGCTAAAAATTTTCCCAATTAATTATTTCATAAGAACTGTTTTCCATCTTTTTTATAGCAATGTAGTAGAAGAGTGCAAAATCTTTATCATCATTATTACAAACACATGCATAAACAGCAGGAACAAAGACACACATGCTGTCCTGGCAGTTTTTTTCCTTAATCTTTTGCATTATCAGCTGATATCATAATCTACTCTGCTATTGCAGGATGGGAAAATGGGGTAACAGGAGCACTAGCATTCCTCTTATGTCTATTTACACTTGAAAATGCCCTGTTAACTAGGCCAAAAATATCTGTATATTCCCAAATTGTTATGCTCATTGTTAAAGGCATATTATTTGCTTTATTATATCAATATTAGTTATATACATTTCAGTAATGTAAAATATTTATAGCTTATTTATTAAAAATCTATTTTATTTAATTTTAAAGTCAATAGTAATAAAATTTCATAATTTTGATTTGAGTTAATTTTATGTCTCATATATTTTTTATTATAAATATTAAAAAAATAGAACTAGTTAATCCAATATTACAAAAATGATAAATTAATATACTTGTAATAGGAAGACTTTCAAATAATTTTAACTGAATCCATTGTGCCTCAGATTCTTCATTTGTTCCTATTCGAATTTTAGCAGAAATTCTCTCTAGAGGCAAGTATTTTTCAATAGCACTGAAATTTTTAAATAAAAAATTAATAATATATTTAANAAAATATATTAATATTTATAATTATAGTCAAAGACAGTAGATAAAATGATTAAGACATGAAAATGTCTTAATCACTTACATATTTTTAATGTCAGTGTACATCTATTATGTTCAGAGCTGAACACAATTTCCTACACAAATCTTAAAAGCTTTAATATCTTAACTGATAACTGCTATAACTCAAATTTTCATATCTGTTAGTTACAAACCCTTGCTACAGTATTATTATTACATTAGAAATTCTTGTAAATGCTATTATATTATGTTGTTCTTAAAAAAATCAATTAAAATTGATTAATTTCATGCCACAATACTATTAAAACAATTTTCTAATGATTGTTGAAATATTTCATATCAGATGCAATAACTACATTCATTGTAATTACTTTTTTTAGAAGTAAGCTAAATTTTCTGATTAATTAAAAAATAAGTTTTTAATTTTACTTTTTCGTAACATATACAATTAATAAATAGTTATAATTATATATTTAGATACTACAATTCAAGAAATATTCAAACTAAGAAAAACAAACAGACTTTACTGATTGTAAATCATGTTTATTGTTATCAGTTTTAGCAAGTCTCACAAAAACAGAAGTTCAAAATCATTTATAAAAGTTTATAAAACTTTAGTTATTGTAATCAGAATTTAGTTATCATCATCTTCAAGTAAATAGATATTTTCAAGCTCTTTTTTTGCACTGTCAACTTCAACATGTATCTGATAATACACAATCATTATGAATTATCATCATCATTCTCAACCAGTGTTTTAAATGTTAATTGCTTTGTTATTTGCTCACAATACATTAGTTTGAACTGCTGATATTTAAAATGAAAATCCAAGAAAACCAAGACTATTACTTATCTTGTTCAAATATGGTTCATAGTAGGGTCATTGGCACCCAGGACAAGATTCTGATTTCATGTCCTCAAAAATCTACTACATATATCAAAATACTAAGAATCACTTTGCTGATTGTGCTCACAAGAGTTTGCACACTTGCATGTGCCCCTTTTGCTGGGCCCTAAATATGGTGCTGATCAAATACATTAAATTAAATGTGTGTGTAAGTTATCAATTACACAAAATAATATCACTAAAGCATTCATTTATTAAACAATTATTTATTTCATTATTTTTTAAATTATATTTTGAATACAGTAATACCCCGAACTTATGCAATAGGTGGGACTGAGCGATAACTGCGTAAGTCGAGGTATAATTTCATAATTTGTGTAAAATTCAAGTCGGATGTATGTAAGCTAATAAATGTTCTCATTAACCTATCTGATGTTGAAATTTTTATCTGTTGCCTGTGACACCATGTTGAATTTTTGTCAATGTTAAGCCTAAAAAAATTTTTTTTTTTTTTTAAAATAATAATCGTGTTTACTGTGTCATTAAAAATTATTTTTTTATGTTGCACAAACAAAATAAATATATTGAAAAATATAGAAACAAAAAAAAATTATATTTCAAAAGTTTGTTTTAATATAAAAATTGTGACGCATAGCAACACTGGTTGAGAATGATGATGATAATTAATAATGATTGTGTATTATCAGATACATGTTGAAGTTGACAGTGCAAAAAAAAAAAAAAAAGCTTGAAAATATCTATTTACTTGAAGTGTTACTTGAACATTTTCGTGTGTACACCTAGTTCCGATGTAGACATGAAAATATTCGGGATCACCCATGCAGGTCAATGAGGTCAACATGAATATTTTCGGGAACAGGCAGGTTAATCTTATCTCGTCTTTTGATTCATTCATGGTTACAAGAAATCAGCACAGAGAGTCTCTCAAGTCTCCATAGATATAACAAACACAGAAATAAATAACACAAAACAAATTGTAGCTATGTGTTGATTCAGTGTGACACGTCCGAACATGTAAGTTGAACAATAGTGTGTGGGGGGAGTGAGTAATCAAGAGTTGCGTGGTGCTCAAACAAAAGACAAATCAATGAGATTTGAAAATCGCGTAACTCCGGGTTCGCGAAAGTTGGGGTATTATTGTATAACAATTCAATAAAAATAATTATTAAGAATACACTAATCAATCATTCTTATTTTCTTCTAAATTAGTAACCCTTGGAAAGGAGAATATCCTTCACAAATATATTATTTAATACACAATAATTATTTAGTGTGTTAGTACATAAATTTTTACAATATTTATGCATTGAAAATTCTCTATATCATTATCTTTTGCATTAATTACAATCTTAAAATTCTTTATATTCTGAAAACTCTACAAACAAAAAATAAATGTAAAAAATATTGATATAGGAAGTTGAATTCTATTAGGTTGTTCTGAAAGTAAGTTTGTTTTTTTTTACCACTAGACGGATTAGTCATATTTTTCCCACCATTTTCATTCTAAACCATATTATCATTATATATTTTGACAGCTAGCATTTTAAGGCTTATTTGTAAAAAATTTTGTTTGATTTCGTGCAATTGTTTATTTTTTGTGTCCCATCAAATATGGAAGATCGGAAGCAGCATTTTCGGCATATTTTGCTATTTTATTACCGAAAAAGAATGCTGTTCAAGTGAGAAAAAAATTGTGTGACGTGTACGGAGAAGATGTATTGACAGAATGACAGTGCCAAAAGTGGTTTGCAAAATTTTGTTCTGGCAAATTCAATATTGAAGATGAACTACATTCTGGATGGCCAGTTGAAGCCAATGAAAACAAAATAAAGGTACTGAAGCAAACTGCCAAATAACGAATAACACATGAAATCACTAAGTGATTAAATTTGTCAAATTGAACTGTTTATGATTACTTGAAACAAATTGGTTTCGTTTCAAAGCTTGATATATGGGTTACACATATTCTTAAAGAGAGATGCTCTCTTTGGTGGAATTTTAAGGAAATTTTTTTTTTGGAGCTTTTACCAGGCAATTTAACAATTGATTCGAAAGTGTACTGTCATCAAGTAAACAAATTGAGTAATCATAAAACAGAAAAGGCAGCCAGAATTGATCAGGTGTAGTGTTTTACCACGATAATGTCAAATTTCACACAAGTTTGGTAACTTGCCAGAAACTGGTGATGTTTGGTAACTCGCCAGAAACCAGATGGGATGTACTATCACACCAACAATATTCGCCAGATTGAGCACACTCAGATTATTACTTGTTCTGGTCTATACAAATTTTTTTTAACTGTAAGACATTTACTTGAAATGACGATGTCAAAAATCACTTGGATCAGTTTTTTGTAAGCAACGATCAAACTTTTATGAATTTGAAATCATACTACTACCCAGAAACGATGACAACAGGTATTTGACCAAAATGGTTGATATATAATTCAATAAAATATTTATTTATTATAAAAATATTGTTTTTTCCACAGAAAAAAAATTAACTTATTTTCTGAACAACCCAATAAAAATGTAAGTTGTTTACAAAATTCACAATATCTATTTTGTATTAATAACATTCCAAATTATTTTCAAATAAAAAAGGAATTTCTTAAGGCATATTTGAATAAATAATCAAAATAAATATTCCTATTATAAGATGATGTAATAAAATATCATGCTCTCAAAAATAAAACTTTGAGAGCATGATATTAAAAAAAAATAAAATAAAATAAAAATAAAACTTTGAATTATTCATTATTATTATTATTATTATTAAACTTGCTTATGAAATGGCAGTCTGAAAAATTGATGATATCTTGATTATGCTCATAATATCTGTATCAAATTTTCTGTAATAAATTCTAACAAAGAAGAAGAAATCTGATAACTTTAAAATCTGATCTAATTCAAATTACTAATTATTAATCTCTCTCTTAATTTCATAGATACTCCATATTCCATAGATAATGGGATGCTATATAACATTCATTCAGTACATAATTTATTATGAAATTTCAGACTTCTGTAAACTAACCACATTAAAAATATAGCACTTGTGTATTATACAGTAGAGCATCAATTATCCGACCCCTGATCAACTGTCACATCGGTTAACTGACTGTGTTCTAGTCGGCAAATTCAAATGTCCACTAGTGATGTGGCGCTACAATATTTGGCTATGTCTTGGCTACTTTAATATTATTTTTACGTGTTTTAGCTGGCAACATTGGCTAGACCATGAAAGGGAGCCTGTATTTAAACAAGGCTTAATTTTTTAATTTTTAAGGATATAATAGCGACGATTATTACTTAAAAAACTTTTTGTTAGGCTTAACATCGATGAAAATTCAACGCAAAGTAGGTTAATAGTGATATACTAATATACTAATTACATGGGATATACTAATATACTATACTAATAATGTATTTTTTCATATTTTTCGGTCATCTGTTTTTTTCAGTTATCTGACCAATCCCAGTCTCCAATTGAGTCGGATAATCGATGCTCTACTGTATTATTATTAAGGACATAATCTTTAAATTTAATGAATAAATAGTTTTGTGGAGAAACTTCCTAATTACAATTTTAACACAAAAAAATATAAACTGATGTTTTCTATAATTCTTGCTTTAAAATTTTTATAATGTCTTATAAAATTTTTTAAACACACAATATCTTATATCTATGATGTTACAAGTAAGTTAATATTTTTATTACATTCAATTAAACAATTTAATTAAATATAATATATATTCATCATGATTTAAAGTTTCATTAATGCAAAATGATGACTTCAAATTTTTATGATAAAACTATAAGAAAAAAAACAACAAACCTTTCTGAAAGCAATTTCCAAGCCTTTAGTTTTGGTTTCCAATCTTTAAATGAATCAGATTTATTGTATCTCATTACATATTTCATATGCCTATAAAAGTAAAATTAGCTATTAATTGCAACAAATTGATACCATAAGTTTGTTTATACATTTTGTAATTATATCTATTCACATATCCAGTAATTAGTCAGTTTTAATACCTTTAAGAAATATTGTCTTTAAAAAATATTTGAGACAATTGAGATAGGTAAGGATTAGTTATGTGCAGGATTGTTAAAAATGCATATCTGTGGATACGGATCATTAGTGTCTAGATCCACGGATATGGATACGGATCTCAACTTTCATACTCAGTTGGTGCCGGTGAATGTGACCTTGGACTGATAAGTGATGCTTTGCATTAGTAACGCGACATGTTTTGACTTGCACTTCACGTGTTTTTGTTTATAGTTTAGTGTGACATGGGATAGCATAGATTACGTTTGTGTTTTTGGAGAGTGTTGAGTTAAATTAAAATAAAAACAATGTCGACAAAAAAGTTTAGTAGTGTAATACGGAAATATTTTAACATAGTAACTGAATTTTGCATGATAAAATTTTTGCAATATGAATGTGCCAAATATGTGATTTTAAGAAATAAAAAGTGATTTGAATTGAAGTTATTAGTATTTTATTGCTACCAATCTTTAAAATTTCATATAAGTAATGAAATTAATTAAGATAAAAGATCCACTAAAAAGTAATGGATACAGATACAGATCTTTTTTTTCCTCGGATATCCGCAGACATGGATATCCAGCACATCACTAGTAAGGATGTACACCTACAAGAGGAAAGCAAAAAAAATTTAGAGTTTTAAGAATTTTTGGAAAGTTGTAATAATTCCAATAAGTGTTTTATTGATATTTTTAATGTTGAGCCTCAATGTCTTATAACGATTTTCTTTAAATGAATTTTTGTAACCCATTACAATTTCTCAATAAAATATATCTATATATATAAAAATGAATGTATGTCTGTGTGTGTGTCCTATGTCCTTCATGCATTACCACACCATTTATCCGATTGCCATGAAACTTTGGGAAGTTGTTTAATATACTCTGGCGAAGGTTTGTGGCATAGTACGATTGCCATAAAACTTTGGAAAGTTTTTTTAATTTATTAATACACTCCTGCAAAGTACATTTATCCTACGATAGATGGCGCGCGTTTACACGAGCATTCGCGCACAGTGTGTTCGAACAATTTCAAATCGTAAAGACCATTTCCCCCTTCAAAAATATCTCTATATATGCATTTGTGAACTGTTATTTACGATATTTATAATAATCTTTGTTTAATCACTTTATTTCAACTTTTTTTTGCTAATTATGTATTCGCTCGAACTTCGTTAAAACCTTAACTGTACCCCGAACAACAACCGAAGTTGTAGGAAGAAATTCGCGTATTTTACCGATCTAGGTATCCCCCCTTTTCCAAATTTTAATATCGACTCAAAATAATTTTAAAAGACAAATTACAATAAAACGGTTTATTACCCAACTATCAGAAATTTCACAACACGCCAAAGAAGAGAGGAAGGAGCAATTAAATAATGAAAATTATAAAGGATTTTAAAAAATACATAAAAATGAGGAATATCGCACTTCTGACAATCGCTGCGAGTGTGTGGGTTAAATTTGGAGAATCCGTGCTTCTCGCATGGACAACTGTATGTGGCCGGCTCACGCGTCAGAAAACCTTCCGATTTATTCGTGTACGCACCAGACGGAAAAACAAAAAATATCGTGTATCCACAAGCACTCCAATAAATAAATAGAATTGAAACGACACTTTGAAATGTTTTCCAGATGAAAATGATTAATAATAATAATAATAATATAATAAGTTTCAATAAAAATGATAAAATAAAAATTTAATTTTATCATAACGGGTTTGCTTGAATTTTCTTTCTTCTGAGATCGCAGCAATGCGCGACGGGTAAGCTAGTTGCTAATAAAAATCAATTGATGTTAAATTCAATTTCTCTCCTATAACTTAAAAAAGTTGTTATTTTCAACATTAAATTCACCTTACCACCTTGCAATCACACATCATTGCCTGTCTCAAAGGCATCTACCAATTTATTCGTTAAACAATTTTCATTTTATCTAGATTGGAAGGGTTCAAATGAATGTTTGAATATAAAAAGTTCTTGACAGACATAATCTTAAAGAAAAATTACTTTTAATTTTTTTACTCAATTTCTACTGAGTCAAAAATTCTAATATTTTCCTATTATATGCATCTCAATATGCATATCAAAATGTTCTATCAATTACTAAAAATGATATTATAATTAACATAACCATGATACTTGTTCTACCTTTATTTTTATGTATCACAAGCACATATCATCCTGTACTCATCCTGCAAAAGTTTCAATGGATTCCTGAGATTGCTGTTAGTTGGTAGTTGGTCAAGTTACTTTATAACCATCCTATATGTATTTTGTGTATGTTCTGTGCTTTAAAAAATGTTTATTTGATATATCCTCTCCAACAGTTTTTCTATTGTCAAAATTTTTCAAAAAGAATATTAAAGATAAAAGCAAGTATTAACATAGTTTAGTTATTTTCTAATATTTCTTAAAGAAACATTATTAAATATTTTACTAAAAATGTATTATTTTGTTTTTAAAATAACTTACAAATCAAATCTTTCTTTTGAGGAAGACCAATATAATCTCTGGCTAGTTTTCTGTTTTTTACACTTATCCTTATTTGCTAAAAAATTAAGTTTATTTTTTATATTGAAATGAAAAAAACATCTAATTCCAAATTTAATAAATCAAGTTTACCTATCTCTTTATTTTCAGGAAGACACTGTTAAAATAAAATATTTATAAGTTAGTTATTAATTCATCAGTTATTGTTAGCAATAAACTAATCACTGCTGTTAAATCATGTTGTAAGTTAATTGTAAATTAAAAGTTTCATACATACTTTATGATAATTTTCCATATGAGCCAAGAGAGATGTTTTTTTATATTTGAAAATTTTTGAACAGATAAGACATTCAAAATTCTTATCATTCTGACAGCGAGGGGCGTGATATTTAATTCCTAATATTGTTGTAAATAGTTTTTCACAGCCCTGTAAGAAAACGAATAATTTTAAAACATTAAAATCATTTATAATCTTGTTTTAATAAAATATATTTATCATCTTTTTATATTCAGTTAACTAGATATCATTTTTCTAATTGAACAGAAATATTGTTATTAGGTTTTATGTTAATAAACCTGATTATTATATAAAAACTTAAATGGACAATAGTTTACATATAACTTAGCCATTCAATGTCACTGATTAAATTTCTAGTGATGCTTCAGCTGCAATCAGACTCATCAGTCTGAAAACACAGTTAGTTAATAATTAAAATGGCATCTAATGGACAAAAGTGAGTGAGGGTTGTAATTTTAAGTCAAACACTTTCTGAAAGTGGAAAATTATATGTTTCAAAGCTTTGAGAAAAATGTCATGACAATACAAAAACATATTAATTCACTGTAATTATAGACATATTACTAATTCACTAGGTTAAGTGCAACCAAAAGCCTAATCTTGCACTCAAAAATGTATCAATCAACACTGATGACATCTGTTCCTGCTACCTCTTACCTTTCCTTCATCAGTTAGCATTTCCAAACAAACTCCAATTGGTTGAATAGTATAGTGAATGAAGTAATCAATATTTGGACGATCTCTTTCTAACCCATCCTCAAAGATTGGCGAGTCTGAAGTAAATCAGCAGAAACTTTATAAATAATATTTTTGAATCATGTCTGCTCTCAGCAGTTGAACTGGTAAGCATTTCCAAACAGATCCTAAGATGTAGTTTCATAAATAACATCATCTTGTCATCCAACTTCACATAAAGAAATTGATCCAAACATTTTTTTTCAATAATGAGGATATTAACTGATAGATTTCACTGGATAGTTTTTAATAATTTATATATTTTCATAAATGTATTATGATTAAGTAAATTTGTAATTATAAGTAATTATATCATCAATTGAGGATTTCTGAAAAGTTATAGATTTCTGGGATGCATATAAATATATCAGGTCATAAAGGTGAAATTTATATATTTCAATTTTTTCTTCTAGAAATGACTGAAAAAAATGCCATAGAATGTTTGATGTGGGTATATACAACAAAGTAACCAAGGGGTATTTCATCACATATTTCATTGGAAACAGACTGATCAGCAATGTCTGACAATAAGAAAATTTTGAAAGAACACATTTGCATGCTGTTGTTCTATCACTTCATAAGTGGCCACAATGCACAGCAGTCCCAACTTGGAACCAAAAGACTACCATGTACAGTGATACCTCAGGATACAAACACCCCAGCATACAAAATTTTCAGGATACGACTGAAATTCGAACATATTTTTGCTCCACAATACGAACAAAAACTCACCATATGACGTTACATTAGTTTGCAGCACCATTTTTTATTCATTTCTGTTCATTGGTCTCAGTCCGCGTGTTTGCTTCATCGTGGAAGGATCTCGCTCGATAAAGGAAATCTTGAGGTATTATCAGAAAGTGACTGATTTTATTGAAAAAAAATATCCCGAAAAGGTTCACACTGGCTGTATTGCTGCTTGGAGTAATGTCATTTGCCTAAGTCATTTTAGAAACATTTTAAAAAGTAGGCAAAGCCAAACCTCTTTGGATAGATATTTTAGCAAGTGACCTCTATCCAGTGAAAGGGCTGGTGGAAGTGAAGGAAAGAAAGCAAAAAACAGTGAATAAAAATTTTTAAAAAATATATAAAACAACACTAATTTCTTTTATCTTTTCTAAGTTATTTTTAAGCTATTGTTACATTATATTAAGTAAGTTAAGTTTTAGTATCATTTCCCTTCTCTCTCTCTCTTCCGCCACCAGTTTACACCTCCACCATTGTCTACCCTCAAAGGTAAAGTGCAAATAAAACTACATTTTTTTTTATCAATTATTATTCTATTATGCTTATTTATACATTTACAACTACAAAATGCATTTTTCAGTGTTTTCCTTACTGAAGTTATTTTTTTTAATGTACTGCTTAGCTTTAATTTGAGTGTTTTTGGTGTTGGAACAAATTATTTGGTTTTACATGTAATCGTATGGGGAAAAATGATTCACCTTACAACATTTTCATGATACAACCTCAGTTTCAGAACGGATTAATTTCGTATCCTGAGGTACCACTGTATTTCATGCCCTGAAGAACTACAGTATATCACCATTATACAGTTCAATGATAAATGACAACACCCAACAATGAAAACTTTCTTCAAAGGAAAACCCTAGTTATTCTATGCTTACGGAAAAGTTTGCAGCAAAAGTGGTAAGATTTGATTGATATTGATGTTGATTACCTACAAGACTGAACTATATCATTGTTCAGTTAATTATCAATAAAGATTTTTTTTTAATATCCAAATTTCACCTTTACAATCTGACAGCACAAAAATGCATACAAGACTGAATACAAAACATTACTTTAATAAAACATGTATTGGGTTGTTCAGAAAGTAATTTCTTTTTTTTCAGTGGAAAAAATGCAATATTTTTATAATAAATAAATATTTTGTTGAATTATTTATCAACCATTTTGTTGAAATATTTGTTGTCATCGTTTCTGGTAATAGCACGATTTCACATTCATAAAAGTTTTGATCGTTGCTTACAAAAAACCGATCCAAGTGATTTTTGACATTGTCATTTCAAGTAAATGTCTTAACAGTTAAAAAAATTTGTATAGACCAGAACAAGTAATAATCTGTGTGTGCTCAGTCTGACGAATATGGTCGGTGTGATAGCAGATCGCATCTAAGTTATAACAGTTTCTGACAAGTTACCAAACTTGTGTGAAATTTGACATTATTGTGGTAAAACACCACAGCTGTTTTTTTTATCAATTCCGGNATGATTTCACATTCATAAAAGTTTTGATCGTTGCTTACAAAAAACTGATCCAAGTGATTTTTGACATTGTCATTTCAAGTAAATGTCTTACAGTTAAAAAAAATTTGTATAGACCGGAACAAGTAATAATCTGAGTGTGCTCAGTCTGGCGAATATAGTCAGTGTGATAGCAGGTCCCATCTAACAAGTAAGTTATAACAGTTTCTGACAAGTTACCAAACTTGTCTGAAATTTGACATTATTGTGGTAAAACACTACAGCTGTTTTTTTTATCAATTCCAGCCGGCTTTTTCTGCTTGATGATATTACGCAATTTGTTTACTCAAATGCAGTACACTTTCGAATCAATTGTTAAATTGTCTGGTAAAAGCTCCAAAAAAAAAATTTCCTTAATATCCCACCAAATAGAGCATTTCTCTTTAAGAACTCGTGGAATTCATATATCGAGCTTTGAAACGAAACCAATTTGTTTCAAGTAATCATAAACAGTTCAATTTGACAAATTTAATCTCTTAGTGATTTCACGTGTTGTTATTTGGCAGTTTGCTTCAATCGGTACCTTTTATTTTGTTTTCATTGGCTTCAATTGGCCATCCAATTGAAGCCAATGAAAACAATACTGAAATGCGAGAACAAAATTTTGTAAACCAGTTTTGGCACTGTCGTTCTGTCAACAGATCTCTACCATACATATCACATGATTTTTTCTCGCTTGAATGGTATTTTTATTTTTTTGGTAATAAAAAAGCAAAATATGTCGAAAATGCTGCTTTCGATCTTCCATATTTGATGAGACACAAAAATTGAACAGTTGCACAAAATCAAACAAAATTTTTTACAAATAAGCCTTAAAATGCTAGCTGTCAAAATATATAATGATAATACGGTTTATAATGAAAATGGCAGAAAAAATACGACTAATTCGTAAGTGGTAAAAAAAACGATATTACTTTCCGAACAACCCAATAGATATAAATATTATATGTAGATATAAATTATTAACCTTATATTATATTTTTTAGAACACTTGCTCAATATTTAGGACAGTTAAAAAGGCCTTTGGGAGAACATGAAATTTTAATATTGTTTCAACAGATTGTTTCAGCCATTTGCCATATGCATGAACATAATATTTTACATAGGTATGATGTATATAAAAGAAAATAATATTTCCAAATAGAATTAATAATATATTATTGGAAACTGAAGTTTTCTGTCTTATGAAATCCTTTTAATTATACATATATTTAACAGATAAGTAATAATATATACATTTTTATAAATTTGAAATATCATATATCTTTTCCTATAACAACCTATAAATTTGAAATATCATATGTCTTTTCCTATAAAATACCATGGAATGTTTTTCAGTCATTATATTTATTTTATTAAAAATGTTAAGTATGCCAAGCATATTTTTGAGTTTTAGATTAAACTGACTAACATCTTCAAGAAAAACTGTATGTAAAAATTGTGACTTGAAATAGACATCATTATCAGTACAATTATTATTAATTGCAGATTTTAATTTAGAAAACTCTTCTTTTCCTGATTCTTCTAACTTGTTTAATCACTTAAATTATAAACAAGTGGTAACATCATCTGTTAATAATTAAATTATCATAATCTGTTGATAATTAAATAATTCACTAACCAGTGTATAACTAAATATAGTTTAGAAATCATTAAAGTAGGCTGTTAATACAAAAATTTTCAGCACATATCCAAATAAAATCATAATGTGAAAGAAATAACATATACAAACAATATATCATTTTTTATAAATTATTTTTAACTATGATTTTATTTGTAGTCAACAATTAAAATTTTATTTCAAAATTTACATTTATTTGCATTTTTTCTTTTGTTATGATATAAGTATTTTGAAAGAAATTTAATGAAAATTGTTGTTCTTTATTTTGACATATTTCTGATTTCTTTAGATAATCAATAAGAAGATGGATTAAAAAGTTTAGCTTTTATGAAAAAAAATAAATGTTTACAATGCTACTTCTTTCCAAGGTGTTCAGTTTGATAAAAATTTGATGCTAGAAATAGGTTCAGAAATTTTTAAATTTTATTTTTTGTTTTATTAAATTCAGAGTTCTTACTTTAAATTGGATTTCTCTGCATATTAATTATTATGTTCTTTCATAGTAAAGATTTTATATGATTGAAATAAAAATATAACATAA